TTTGTACAACTATATAACAAATTACAAAAGTGTTACAACAATTAATTATACATAATATTCTTTTATTATTTAAAATGTGGTGCAATTTATGGGTAGGCATATATATTATTATATGTTATGATATTATTATTATTATTATGCAATAGATTTAAGGCGTGGTATTAGATTCATCATAACACATGGAATTCGGTATGATCGTTCCAAACAGGAACATGTAACGCGCACACGTAATGTACCTACAGCTAAAATGCTTCACGTAAGTTTTAAGAAAACGCCTATCGGCCTACCCAACTACCCACCAACCTACCCCCTGACACAGTGTTATGGAATTTCTCAACAACAGCATTTTTATAATTGGCATCTATATAACATAATATTACGATATTATTTGAAATGTGCAATGCTTACTCGTGTGTTTGGAACCGACCTCGTTGCGCAAGTTCTCCGTCAGGTTGTTCTGCGGGTTTTTCGCCAAATCGAATGCATTGTATCTGATGCTCGCATTCCCTTTGAACATCTCAACCAGAGTTTTCGTCATCAATCCACAAGACTGTTTTCCAGATACTCTCCAGTAGCCGTCAATATCGTATACGAGTAATACGTTTTTCCACGAATACCTAAAATAACCCTTTCAAAAACGTTCATTTAACAYCCGTGTTGTCAAGTACGCCGCCGGGAGTTACACCACACCGGTAGTGGCTACCTGTTCAAAACGCTGACCACCACGTCCGCTATGTCCTGGAAATCCAACGTGCCTGTACGGACTAATAGGAAATACTTGCTTTTTGGATCACGTTTGTCCAATGAAAAATCATTTGTAAAACCACCCGTCGTGAGCAATGGTGCATTCCAAAACTTTATCATCCTAGCAACGAGATCTAAAAACAAACATAAAAAGTACTTGAAAAACAGTTGAATTTTTAATTTAAAAAATTAATTAAAATCTATTAAAAATGTAAAGATACCAACTGCTTTTTAAAATTATTAACTAGTATAATGTAATTATATATTTATATAAGTCATCATAAATTAAATCAACAGAATATTTATTTTTGGATGCTTTARAAGAATATCAACGTTATTTTTGCACTGCTGCAGACTTACACAGACAACAATCTCCTATAGGAATTCAAWTTATTGGAATGATTTAATTTTAATAGCAAATAGCAAATCATAATAATTGCAAGCTAATTATCCGTTCTAATAAATTGTGACTATTCTAGAAAATTATACAAAAATAGTTTTCTGCTTATTATTAAACTATCGTTTCCTAATTTRGAATCATACTACATTGAATTATAAATATCTATACAATTTAATTTATAATCTTATTAAACTACATTTTGTATCTATGAATATTGTATATCGTTGAGAGGACGCTATATATCAATTTGTTGTTTTCGTCTTTCAAGTGCATAACATGGCAAATTTACGCTTGGCAGTCGACCGATCACGTTTAGCTCCGTTAATTTAAAAATTAGAGTGAATCGACCTATTATGAAACTTGATGTTAAGAAMATTTTCTGTGTTTGTATGTGGAGTTTTTACGGTAGTTCAATTTTATAGCAAGTTATGCGTATATAAAAAGTGTAAATTAAAAATTCCCATTTTAAAACTAAGTTATCGTAAAAAMCCCACATGCAAACACAAACACAGGTAATGTTCTTAACATCAAGTTTCATAATAAGTTAATTTACTCAAATTTTAAACTAATGGAGTTAAACGTGATCTGCTSACTGCCAAACTTAAATTTGTTATGTTATGCACTTTTAAGACAAAGACAATAAATGGATGTGTAGCGTCTTCTTAACTATTTATTTAAATTAATGCGTACGGTTATTTTAAAATATATTTACTAAAAATATTCAATGCTGTCCGGTAAATACATACTATAGACGTATAATAACCACTTGAGATTATTTGTTTTAATAACCTCAATTATTCAATTCGGTATTTACAGATTATCATTGACAGTATTATGATTTATGATGACACTATTAGAACTATGACTTATTTAGAACTTTATTTTTAAGTAGGTACCTCAATAAAATTAAATCACTTAAAATGTATAAAAATAGTGGAAGCATATATGTTGTGTACTTGTATGTATTATTTATACAAGCATGCAAGTAACAATATTTAAAAATAAATGAAAAAAAAAGTTTTTATTAGAAATACGTAAATCTTACGGTTAGGTAAAATGATGTGTTACTTTTTTTATAATCAGAATTTAATAGTAATAAAATGCATAAAATATTTTGTAGAATTGCATGTGAGAAACTGATAAACTATAATATTATAGTCTTTACCGATGACTTATTTTGAACTTATCCATAGGGTTAAATTTCTAAACAGTGRGAAAACACAATGAATTAACTAGCTTACACAGTTTTAGATTCATGCCTCGTGGCCCTGCACTCGAATTAACCAAACATTCTGGTTAACCCRAATACCTATAACATTATTTACCAACCAACTTCCCTGCAATACTGTTATTATTATCATTTAGTGGCTATTCGTGGCTATATTTACCAGTTTTTCGGAAATCTCGAAATCTTAATTAAAGTTTTAATTTATTTCTCTACTACTCTACGTCCCTATGGCTTATCTATTTTAAACATTTTAGTTAACTTATTTTATCCCACCAGAATCTACTCATAAAAACTTATCATCCCAAATCTTACCATAATGGCAACCCCAGCTAGGTGTCGTCTAAAAAGTAATTGGTGCCGTGCTTATTAGGGAACTAAGGAAAATATATATATATATAGATAATCAAACAATATTCTCAGTCAAGTGTCACTAATCACTTATGATCTGCGATCTATAAATTTTGGTTCTGTCGCCATTATACACTTACTGTGCTAATAGGACAAATAGTGTATATCTTTATAAAAATAAAAACTTATACTCGTCGACTTAGTGTTTGTCTTACTGCAGTTTCTAGAAAAATKTAGTAACCAATGTACATTAATAAATCGAGAACTACTGAACACCCGTAATAATCAATTTTCACCAAAATAATACCGCGCGGTTATTAACACTCAAAATTAGCAGTATAGCAGTTATAGGTGTATATCATAATTTAATTTTTGTATATTATTTTAAAATGTTATTAACGTAAAATGTATAACTTACTTCTTGCTTAAGTTAATAATAATTTTAATTGTTGACTTTTCAAATTGTTTGTCATCGACTAACTCAAAAGTTTTATTAAAAATGTCTTTGTTCGTCTGTAATATAACTAGGAGTTTTGTTTATTTTAATTATTAATCAAAAACCTTGGGTTAAATATTCCAATGTTATATATRCGTGATATTTCGAAAATAACTTTTAACATTTAATTTATTAGCCTTTGACCTTTGAAGTACCTACTTGACAAAAAATATGATTTATTGTATGCGAGGCCGAGCGGGGGTATATCCAAAACGTATTTGTCGATCAGAGCTTTTGAACAATATACGATACGCAGGTATGCTGATAAAATATGCAACATTGATAAATTATATATGATAATATTATGTATTTTTAATTGTATCATTGAATATTTTTGTTGATATCACAAATTTATCATGACCATTKTTTTATACAAAATGGTATTATTACCACGAATCACGATTAGGTATAGATAAATTAAGTTACCAATCAGCTGTAAATATTTATCTAGAATTTGCTGCTTTGTAGGTATGATTGAGTTATGAAAGACATAACTATTTTTTTTAAATATCAATATATGTATTTTGATTTAACTTTTGTGCTTTGCAATAAAATATAGTTCAAAGTGCGTAAACCCAAAAATTTGTTCACCAATACACCACTGGTAGTAAAAATGATGTTGTTAATTTTAATGTAATTTTAAATTTTTAACAGTTAAAAATTTACAATTTTGTCATGGATAGTGTTGACTTAATTGTACGCAGATAATGGAATAAGTTATGACATAGTTTTTTCTGTCGTGGCGCATATTTGAACAAATAATTACTTATTCGTTTTACAGCCTATATAATATAACTGACTTAATTATTTGATTGGTTGATTTAATCGATTCAAACAACAATTGAAGAGAATAAATGGGACGTAAGCTACTATACATATTTTGCTACTCGTTAAATAATAAACACCGGTGTAAAATGGTCCACTAAATTTATGAAAACACGTAATAGGGAACAACGTGCAACTTTCAAAATAGACTTTAAACATAATTTAACTTGCATTAACACTGTGTATAAATTTATTATTCTAGTAAGTATCTAATGCAGTTTAAATGTAACCTATGTTTACATCATATCTAGTCTTCCTTTAATCCAAGATAAATATTATTCCGAAATAAATTCGATAACRGGACACTTGTAAAATATATTAATATATGGTTATTACTTTTACTATAATAAGAAATATTTTATATTACAGTACATAATTTCATTATTTAAATCGTATTATATAGGTTCTATATTATTTGACTGTAAGCCGTGATCATTATTTTATTATATTCGCATAAATCATTACAAAAATATTATTATTCTTAACACTGTTAAAAAAAAATTATATCGCTATTTATTTTTAACGATAAATCATAATATTATATTATTACCTATTATTGATGTCAGGATATGTAAGTTCATAGATGAATAAACAAATAAACTTAAAATGTTTTTTTTAATGTAAACAATTTTATTAATACGTCAATACAAATACTATATTATTATAAGCACAAAACTAAATAATCATATATATTTGTAACTTATGTTTTTGAGTAACATACTAACATAAGTTTATCTTTGTCAATTTTTTCAACATGCAATAATAATAAGTTATGGCCTGYTTGTAATATCAGACACTTTAGTTACATCCATTAACTCAGTGGTTCGCGCATCATGTAAAAAAATTCATATAAACCTATATTCAACAATTGTGTTGGACATTATTGATATATTCTTACAATTTTTTGGACGTTCGTTAAAAAATCATGAGTAATTTTCYAAAATTACCTCTAAGTTCACACCAACGGCCTACCCTCGTCGAATACTTCAAAAACAGTCTAAATTGTTTACTACGGTTTGACGGACAGCATTATTGAAAAAGTCTTGTATAATAAATCGTGAAAATTATTCGATAAAATACAAACGTATGATACAATAAATTGTAAAACATTAATATTCGTTTTATCGTTTTCATTTGACTTGAAAATAATTTTTTAATRAAAAATAGAGAGGGATTTTGAATTGATGGCTATAATTTAAACTTTGACTCTCTAAAACTATGGCCCTTGTAACTACTAAAACCTACAGTTACTTCCAAGCAAATCGATGTCTAGAGGACAAGCTGCAGGCGTCAAATAATACAAATCGCAAGGAGATCCCCAAAAGCCCCTCCCTCTATTTGCGCCTATGAAGATTACTTGCTCTAAGTTTGTCTAACGACTTCCTCTCTTATTAGGTGGACTGGTTACTAATACATTACAAAAGATAAAACCAATMATTAAATATTGTACTTTGATAATGTACCTACGAATCTTACTCATATATTCATCAAAAGTCGAAAGGACACGCGAATAACAAAAATAAYARAGCCACAAAAGGATTGATTTGATTTTCATAAATAGATAAGTACTATTCAATTTTAATGGCATTAATTTAATATATCTACCCCGAGCTCCAAATAAATAACCAGGCAATAAAACATTTATTTTTCTTATTAAATATAACGTTCAATATTTTTAGCAGTTACAGCCTATACAGGCTACACTATCTAATTATTTAATTTTACTTAATAATAAATTAAAAACAATGTAGTGAATACAGATGAGTAAGTTACCAATATTTATTATTATTTTATTTTAATAATTATATTTAAAATTAAATTCCCGCAACTTTTCGTG